ATTTAAATGCCTAACAGAAATGAAATCAGGTAAAAATGATCCAAATTGTTCCTATTTACTTAATAATTTCTTTATGAAATGATCCTGTTTGTATTATGATTCCTAAAATATGTTTCCCAATTACTTTAAGCAATTAGTGGTTTAGTGTTCTGCAGTCTTAATAGATGTGTCCCTGCTCTTTCATTTGTCTGTAGACATAAACACCTTTCTGCCAGTTGTAGTGGGATTTGACATTATAGCACCAGCAGGCAATTTCTTGGACAAATTACTATTTGGGCCACTAAAGTGGGGGAAGGGAAGAATGTTTATTGCACTATTGAACTGGCTCATGCATCTATGGCCGAAAATTGCACTGGAGGACGCTGTGCTGGGAACCATTMCAAAAAGAGCTGAACACCTTCTGTTTGGAGTGACTTGTCTCTGCATTGAGAACACATGTTAACATTCAGAGGGAGAGAACAGAATCTATTTTATAAGAGCAGAGGGAAAATTTAGCTACACATGTTGGCAAGTTCAATATTTCCATGACAATGTCTATATGAAATATTATTTCATGTTAAAATCATTTTGATATCACTTTATTATGCTAAACACTTTTTCTATACATGAATTGAGTAATAGTATTTTATTTCACATGTCATGTTTAAGTGCATCAGCTTTCTTTTAATGTTTTATTCATGATCAGTTTCCCACTCCAATTCACCAATGTTAACATGTGTAATTTTAAAGCAAATTATTTAGCCATATTTTTCTATAGGAAGTTGAGATTAAATTCATGCATTTCTATKGGAGTTGAAGAAAGATCTATGGAATTAAGCATATTCTTTTAACCAAAGGCTATGACTAGGTAAGAATCTAAGATTCTGACAAATGTCTTACACACTTATTCAAAGGTCCTGATTCCCAGAATTTATAGCATATTCTTGTTTCTTTCTGAAGAATATAAAAGTAAAGAAGTCCAGGTACATCTACTTTTTCCTTAGGTAAAGATGACTTTAAAGGAAAACCCTTTCCCCCCAGAGGATGCATGTAGGAATGGGAAAAAACTAGATATAGGAGATGGTAATTTCTCTTCAGCCTGATTTACACTTCCAGAGATAGCTTTCCAGTGAAACCTCTCACTGAATCCAGGTCCCATCTCTTACCTAGACTACTAGATATCATTAGCTCTGAAAATATCTTTCAGACCTGGTCAGCAATTAAAGAGTGCAGTTAGAGCATGACTCTTTGTAAAATGGATCATAAAATGTGTCCATCTGGGCTCATAAGTTGTAGCTATGGTGTTATGCTGCTATTTTGAGGACAATGTCTCAGAGCATCTGTTTCAACATTGCCTTGAGTGAAGCACCCTGTGATATCACACTTCTCACCAACTCCTCAGTAACTTTCCATTTTGTTTTAAGGCAGATTGTAGGTTCCTGAACATTCTTGCTGCTCAGTATAAGTCCTAATGTTTTTGTAGGTACCCTCACAGAGTTTTTAGGCTAAATCCATCCTAGCAGCCTCAAAATTCAAGCATAGAGCAGTAAACTCAAGATTTCTCTTCATAACTCAAAGTCTTCAGACCTACATGTATCTTCAGTTCTTACATCTGCTTTGAATACTTCAGAGCATCTCAGAGTAGATATGTCAGTTAAACACCTAGGATACCCCAAACTATCATGGTTCATTGCTTATGGTCAAGCTGAATATTGAATACTCAGTTTCTAACCCACTCTACTCTATAAGATTTATGTGAAAAAAAAATGTTCCTTCATGACAAAGTAAAGTTCAACAGAGACAAATTCAAGTTGATACATTTAAGGTCAAGTGCCCATCTAAGCAAATATTACAGAAAAATTTGAAAGTAAAAAAAATCTAAGCATGTGGTTTCATGTGAAATGAAAAGAGCAACATGATACAACAGGAGTATTTAATTCAATTTCTAAAGCTTTTCATATTATTCACCAAAGGAATATTAAATCATTTTTTAAACAAATCTTATTTTAGAGTTAAAAACCAAGTTATATAAAGTGGTTAAAATTCAAAATGAGATGATGAATAAATACATGGTCAGATTAGCTCTATGATCAATATAATAGTTCATATCAAAGACATGAGTATGAAATCAAGCTGTGGAGGGAAAAGGTATGAATGCCTCCATGTTAACCCCTGGAATCTTCATTAGTCATAGACCACTGTAAGTGTTACAGCCATTATTGTCTATCCCATTTAATGTGGTTAGAAATGAGACAGAATCCAGAAAGCAAACAAAGCAGATTTCATCAAGAATGCAAACAAAACAGATTTGTTGAAGTCACTGAGCTCACACTCTTAAAAGCATATATATATATATATATATATATATATATATATATACACACACACATACATGCATACATATGATTTACTATAAATGCTTAAACATATTCTTAAAAGCATGCTCCACACACGGATGTCAATCCAAAAAAAGAAGGAAGAAGAAGGAGGAGGAGGAGGAGGAGGAGGAGGAGGAGGAGGAGGAGGAGAAATAATAATAATAATGTAGGCTGATGTTGTCTCCCTCTTTAATACTCTTTGTCTTCATTTTCCCTTTTTGCCATTTTCTCATCTATATTTTCCCTGAATGGTCTGCGATCAACACTCCATATGGTGGACAAGTTGTTTTTAAGAGCTCTTTGCAGTTAAGATCACTTCCTATTAGGAGCCTGTCATAAAGGTGAACTTCTCTATCACCTAGACACCTAAGCATTRCAACATTTCCTGGGTAACACCATTAGACATTCTCTGACCACGCAGCTTCATTGTGCAGAAGGAATAGGACTGCTTAATACATTTCTCTTCAATCATATTTCACATGAGCTCTAGAATTTGGAAACTGTGTAAGAGCTCTCATTGACTCTGGTGCTTTCCTCCCTGGGAGTTGGCCATGGGGCTTGAGAAGAGAAATAGACCCTGTGTTTTACCAGGATACATGCCCTACTTGACACACAGAGCTCTGTAGTAATGCCTTGCAGTGCAAATCTACAGATTTCTTCCTAGCCTTAGAAAGCCAGAAAGGAAGAGCTAGCCTCAGATTAAATTATGCAAATTTTCAGGCATATATACCATAGCTGTTGAGGATTTAGAATGCTAGAATGAAGTATAAAGGATAAAATGTTTTTTATTGCTGGAGCTCATCCAAGAATACAAACTATCTTTCCTAGGAGTTTTAGTTSAGCATATTTCAACCTTCCCCTCAGCCCTCACCAAAGTGCCCTAGGAATAATATACTGTGTCCTGAGTGGAAATGTTCTAAGTCCCATGATTGTCAAATGAAACCAATACTTTACCCCTCCCAGTTGTCAGATTGTATATGGATAGATTATTTGGATGTAGAGTACTTTGTGTAACTTAACATAAAGCCACATCAGTAACTTCTCTAGAAATACACACACACATACACACACACACACACACACACACACACACACACACACACCTGGTGAAAATTGGTGCTTTTGAAATCCACCTGTCAATTATTTTTGTTAAAGATCTATGTTCTTTAATTTTATCAGACTTCACCTGGGGGAAGAACTGTTGTTGACATTGACAAGTTATGAATAGAGATTCTGTGCCTCTCCCAGTCTCCTTTTCTGCAAAGAAGATATATCTATATATCTATATATGCAGCATCTATATTTGAAGACTTTTACAGCCCATATACATGGGTGCACCTTTTTTTCTCTAAGACTGAAGGAGACATTATCTAGAAATATATTAACTGCATATTTCAAATATAATTTCGATAAGAGACAAGACAAACTGATCTTACGTCATTCCTAATTATATTAGTATGTAAACAGTATGGGGTTTTATCTSTAGGCTATCAATTCATGTGACATAATTAGTTTTGTGGTAGTTATTAAATATTTTGTAGGAAGATTAAAAGATATTGTAGACATGAATGCAATTTATGAATTTTTACCCATGTAAATCATGTGATCACAAAATCAACACATCAATTCAAACAAATCACCTTTTCTTGTTGTTTGTTTTGTAGTGTTAAGGATTGAACAAAGAGCTTCACCTGGGCTGGATTAATGCTCTGCCACTCGGTTATCCCCACAGAACACCACCTTTAAATTCTGAGCATGCTGCTAATTTGAACATTAAGATGTTTACCAAAATTCATTATTAGAAATGTGTTTTAGGAACATGTTTTGATATGGYCTTAGAGCTCATGAAGACACTGCAACATAGATGATTATTTCTACTGAGGTTCTAACAAAATCTGTCTACAAACAGCAAAATGCTGCTGAAGAGAATATTCATTATATCCCTATATAATGTAATAATTGCCCTTCCTGTTTAATTCAAATACTTTATGAACACTAAGAAAATGAACTTTCTTATCATATTCTTTCTTATCTTATTTTAACGTTCTTATCTTTCTATTTGTGTCCTGACTTCAGAACCTTTAAATTAAGCTCAGTTACTGCAAGTACCCTGGTTCTTATGGTTACTGTATCTTATTGATCTATTTTTATTTTTATCTATATTTATTTACTTTATCCTTATAACCTACTTTCCATGTCACCTCAACCCCTTTCAAAGAAGGAATGATTTGGACAATTAGTATATACTTTCATATGTCTTATGGGCTCTTTCAAATTCTATTTCCAATTTACCTTTCTAGGTTGTCTTCAGGCATCAGCAATCAGTACGATGTGTGGTTTTCACAGTACAGCATGCACTCCCATCCGTCACCAGTTTCAACAGCTTCTTTCCCTAAATGCCATTCCTTCATGTTTCAATTTATCTACTTGGAAAATTCTTATTCACCACCCAAAATTTTACACTAAATCTTATATGGGGCCTCCCACCATCATCTGAAGTGTCCACTCTCCAACAAGACACCGTCACAATCTGAGCATTCATCTATACATCTATTACAAAACCTGTCATGTTGTCTTATAAATACTTGCCCTTTGCTGCTGCTACTTCTCCCCCCTCCCTTTTTTAAAGAATGYTAACCCCATGTGCTCACTTCTGCAGCACATATACTAAAATTGGAACAATATAGAGAAAATTAGCATGCCCCTGCACAAGGATGGCATGCAAATTTGTGAAGTGATACATATTGGGGAAAGCTAAAACAATGTTAGCCCCATAAGCCTGGAAACTATTAATTTACTTGGCTACTGTAATAAAAYACCACTGGGTGGTTTATGCAACAGAAAWTTATTTTCTCATAATTCTGAAGGCTAAGAGTCAGATCAAGATGTTGGCAGGGTTGGTTTCTTCTGAAATCTCTTTCCTGAGCTTGTAGATGGCTGTCTTCTCCCAGTGACTATGTACAGTCTTCCTCTGTGTGTGTCTGTGTACAGATCTCCTCTTCTTAGAAGTACAACAGTCATAGAAGATAAGAGTCCACCTTAATGACCTCATTCCAACCTGATTCCCCCATTGAAGACCCTATCTCTAATACAGTCTCATTCTACAGTCCTGGGGTTTCATACTTCAACATGAGAATTTTAGGACAACTCAGCCCATAATAGAGACCATGATGAATTTATCTTTCTACCCCAATTCTTAACTCAGATCCTGTCAGACAATAGAAACAACAAATATTTTTTTTAATAAATGCTATATTAATGAAAGTATAATTTTTACCATTTATAATATGGTATTTTAAGAGATTTTCCTCAGTAACTTATTAAAAACACTGTCATGTTTTTTGTACTTTACAAAATAGCATTAATGTTTTTCACCAGCTTATTCATTAAAGAGCTTAGTTCTCCAAGTTAAGAACTTTTATAGCAATTTTGTTATGCTGCCACCAAGTGACACTTACATGAAACTGTTGCCACAGATTCTGTAGACATTTTGCTTATGTGGATGGTGAACCTCTTAAAAACCCACAGAGACTAATAATTTTGGTGTKTCTACATTTTTAAAAAAGTAATTGCCTTATTAAAACAAGAATTTAAACAAATCTTCAAGAAATATTGACAGCTAATTATATATAGAAAATATTTTTWAAAAATAAGACAATTTTTACAGTTCTCTGATAAAATGCTGACATTTAGATGTCAAAAATAMACCATAATTTATATTCGACTTTAATCATGACTAAAAGTCTCTCACGAATCCATTCAGGGAAATATCCTCTGGTTTGTGTAAATTTTGTTGGTTAAATCAGCAAACACAGAGGAAAAAGCTGCTTTTCTAATGGGGAGAAATGGATGACGTTTCTCCTTAATTTGGAGTTGGAATAGAGCAGGGATTCCTGTTGCAGAAATAAATAAATGAGGAAAGTTAAGTGAAAGCTATGCCAAGTTAGTATTTCTAAATGGCTCTTTCTGTTCATTCACTCACCCATACATTTGTGCTTTCAGTCAATGAATCCAGCTTTCAATTAGGTCTTCCCTGACTGCCAATCTAAAAATCATTCCTCCTACTTCAATTATTCCCTATCAATAACATGACAAAAGGCATTACTCTGGATTCATCTGGTTTAATTAATTTCTACTTATTTACAATATGGGCTTCCCCCTTGAGAAGATAACACTGTGAACTTTYGATTCCTGATCAGATCCTTATCAACTACAAGAGTGCTGACTCTACTAGAGTTTATTAATAAATACTAATAAAAWGAGCCAATAGAATTTATTTTAATTAAAATTTAACAGGAGCTTGTATGCAACTGTTCCTGGTGATATTTCTCGCATGAGAAGGAGCTTTTTTTAACAAGGAGAAGGCAAGAGCTATGGGCTCCATCTATTTTATTACACATAAAACATGCCATCCTCACCCATATTTCTTATCTTCTTTCTGACACCTCTCTTATTTTAATATATTTCATCAATTTGAAATGTAAATTTTTTCACATTTTAACATTTCTGAAGTTGGGATGTACCTTTCAACCAATGGAAAACCATCACCACCCTGTTAGACATGTAGTTGCATGGATATACATATATGTATGTCCTTGACTGCACTTGTGCCAACTTGATCGAAATAGTTGCTGGAATAACAGAATGATTTCATTTTCTTGAGGTTTCAGTTAAAGACAACTTGACGACTAAGGAGGGATATGATTTCTGATACTGTAATCTATGAGCTTTCTGCTGAACCGTCTGATAAGATCAAAGATCCACCAGCAGCAAAATTACAAAATGAATGGGAGCTGCTTGTAAGAAAAATCTCAGAAACAAGAGGAAAGCCCTATTTTTGGTAATTCCCCCTTTGATGCTCTTACAGCATGAAGATTTATATGGTACTGAGAAACAAGCACTTCCAGCAATTCTGAGCTAAAATACAATTAGTTGTTCTCTGAACATAAAAAWTTTGTGAAGAGTTTAATTTCTTAGCTTCTATTTTAATTTTCACATAAATGWAATAAACCCATGTCAAAATAAATTAAGAGTCATATTTTGGATAAATGCATAATTAATATGTAAAATAATGAGAAATAATTTGTCATAAATTAAGTGGCAATGTGCTTTCTTCCTGGTCACATTTAAAAATAGGATACATCTAAAAATTAATATCAACTTAGTGTCAGCAAAATATCATGGAGTTCCAATCAAGTGTCAAACACTGYGCTAGGCATTGAAAACACAAGAGTGAATGACAAGTACAGATCCTTCTYGCATTAAGACAGCTTGGCCTCACCAATCACACTCTACATCTGCACTAGGCTAGCAGTAGAAAAAGTAGCCATGTAAGGCATTAACTGAAGTTGTCCAGTCAGACATATTAAATAATCCTGGGACTGAAAATTGGTGCAACCATTATGGAAAASAGTATGCAAATGCCTCAAAAACATGGAATGAAACCACCATTTGACCCAGTTATCCCACTCCTAGGTTTATACCGGAAGGACTTAAAATCAGCATACTACAGTGACGTAGCCGTATCAACATTATTTATTTATTTACTTATTTATTTATTTTTATTTTTTTATTGGTTGTTCAAAACATTACAAAGCTCTTGACATATCATATTTCATACATTAGATTCAAGTGGGTTATGAACTCCCATTTTTACCCCAAATACAGATTG